TCAGAGCGTTGGCCAATAGGCAGAGACATGGTTTGAAAAACAACGGGTTGTTCTCATTGACAATCTTCCGATGTCTCATTCATCTGGGCCAGATTAAGGCTACGTTCACACCGCAGGACATGATGCTCAATTCCAATTTTTTTTGCGTTGCCTTTCACAATTCCAAATAAATGCGACTTGTATGTGATCTCCTGTGTAAACTGCATTCAAACAGCTTAAGCGTCCCGCATGCGCAGAAGAGGACGCAACGGCGTCACAAGCTCAGTGTTTACGGAAGTAAACATGGATGTAGTGCTGGAGCGCATCTAGCAATCTTTTGAAACCTTAAAACCTCAATCTTTCAAGATGGTTAAACATAAATATTGCTCTGCATCACATCGTCCGCCATGGTTGTTGTTTTTCTTGCTGCTTCTGTGTAGCAAGAAGCAGAATGGTCACCTATGTCGGTTACTAATGGCGTTGAGGTCGGATGAATACGACCTGGCCGTTCAGACACAGGTTGCATTTGAAAAGATCGGATTTGTGTCGGATTCAGGACCACAGAGCCAAGTGGCCTGGGTCGCATTGGGAAAAATCAGATCTCTGTTGTTCAAACTGCGATGAAAAGATCAGATCCAGGTTGCATATGGGCCAAAAAAATCAGATTTGGGTCACTTCAGGCTGCAGTGTGAACGTAGCCTAAATTACACATTTAATCTCACGTTTAGTCTGGTTTATCAGGCTAGCAGATTTTGGCGTTTTAAGTTAATTAAGGCGTTAATAAACTGTTTCAGAGGAGTGATCATAGCGCTCTGCATCACTGCATCATGATGGCGTTCATGTGTTTTGAAGGCGTGGTTTCGAGGGGGTTGTCTGAAGGGAGGGGCATGATTGTGTATGTTCAAAAATACAACTTGCTGGAACCATTTTTTCAATATCTCCTACAGCACCTTTAATATATTTAAATTCCTTTCCCGTTTTTTTTTTTTTTTTTTGCTTCATGTTTTCTGTGCCCCCATAGAAAACACGCTGGGCCCCCTCTGGCCCCTGTAACATTTGGTCTAGAACCGCCACTGTAGGTGATACCTGAACCTCAGAGAGCTGATTTGCTTTGGGTGGAGGAAACTAAAACAGCATGAAGAGGATGGATCAGAGACATTCCTGAAACGCCAATCTGTCCAGTCATGTCCCAGCAGTGACATCACAACCTTCAGGTTTCTATGGACCCCTCCCTCCCTAACAGGGCTCTCACTTTAAACCAATACTGTTCAAACACACCTGGATGAAGAATAATAAGCCTTACCTGAGCCAGACTGCCTGTTGTTACTAAGGTTGTTGATAATGTAGTGAGAAACTTTGGAGTTCTCGGAAACGGAGAGGACATAGTCTCCAGGAATGGTGATCGAGTCCCGAACCAGGAAGACTCCGTGTCTCTGTCCCTGTAGCAGGGAGACCGCTTCTTGGCGGCTCAGGCGGCCCCAGTACCAACTAGCACGATCCTCAGTATCAAAATGACCGGCCATGGCAGCGGAGTCCGGTCCGAGGCTTCAGGCCAGGCCCGCCTTCTCTCACAACTCATACAAAAACTTCGGTTTCCCAACACCGCGGCGGGGAAACAAACGCAACAAAAAATCACGACTTGGAGATTTCGAACAGCGAAGTTCTGTTTCGTTTTAAAAAGCCGCGAAAGCAACCAGAACCGCTGCTAACTGCTTGCTGTAACGCAGAACTGATCTAAACTTACGAGCGACAACCGCCTTCGGGACTGAAATGGCGGATCTAGGGAAAAGTTGACCTCATCTACCGGAAAGGGATGCTCGGTCAACGGGAAGCGCTGCGTTCACGGACCCACTTAAAATATGGGAATACTGCAAGATACAGGTTCTTGGGCTAGCTATACTTTCACGCGGCGTGAGCATGCGTTTTATACGGAAGAGGATTAGGGCCACTGGGAGAAAATGAAAGTGAACTGATTTTTAAATATTATTTTAGTTTAATATGCGGAAAAAAGTCAACATTCTGACTTTTTTCTCAGATTTCTGACTTTTTCTTAGAATTCTAACTTTAATCTCACAATTCTGATTTTTTTCTTAGAATTCTGACTTTAATCTAAGAATTCTGACTTTAATCTCAGAATGAAGAGTTTAATCTCAGAATTCTGACTTTTTTTTCTCAAAATTCAGACTTTGTTTCTTAGAATTCTGACTTTAATCTCAGAATTCTGACTTTTTTCTTAGAATTATGACTTTAATCTCAGAATGAAGAGTTTAATCTCAGAATTATGACTTTAATCTTAGAATTATGACTTTAATCTCAGAATGAAGAGTTTAGTCTCAGAATTCTGACTTTTTTTTCAAAATTCAAACTTTGTTTCTTAGAATTCTGACTTTAATCTCAGAATTCTGACTTTTTTCTTAGAATTCTGACTTTAATTCCAGAATTCTGACTTTTTTCTTAGAATTATGACTTTAATCTCAGAATGAAGAGTTTAATCTAAGAATTCTGACGTTTTTTCTCAAAATTCTGACTTTGTTTCTTAGAATTCTGACTTTAATCTCAGAATTCTGACTTTTTTCTCAGAATGAAGAGTTTAATCTCAGAATTCTGACTTTTTTTCTCAAAATTCAGACTTTGTTTCTTAGAATTCTGACTTTAATCTCAGAATTCTGACTTTTTTCTTAGAATTATGACTTTAATCTCAGAATGAAGAGTTTAATCTCAGAATTATGACTTTAATCTTAGAATTATGACTTTAATCTCAGAATGAAGAGTTTAGTCTCAGAATTCTGACTTTTTTTTTCAAAATTCAAACTTTGTTTCTTAGAATTCTGACTTTAATCTCAGAATTCTGACTTTTTTCTTAGAATTCTGACTTTAATTCCAGAATTCTGACTTTTTTCTTAGAATTATGACTTTAATCTCAGAATGAAGAGTTTAATCTAAGAATTCTGACTTTTTTTCTCAAAATTCTGACTTTGTTTCTTAGAATTCTGACTTTAATCTCAGAATTCTGACTTTTTTCTCAGAATTCTGAATTTAATCTCAGATTTGTGGATCTTAATGTAGATGGGCACCATGAAGGACACTCTGCTTCACTGACAAAGATGTGAGTTGTTTGGGAGGGCCAGTAACACATTGGTGAAAAATTATGCAATTAGCCAACTTTTTACGTACCCGAGGGGTCCCTGGTGATGCTATTTCATGAATGGAAGAGCAGAAGGTGATTAAAACAGGAGAGCTAGATTCGTCTCTAAAACAGACATGGCTACAGCTTGATACTAACATGTTTGTTAGCTATCAGAATTCAGTCAGAATTCTGAGATAAGGCAAACAGGCTCTGGGTGACAGGTCAGACGAAGAGCGGTTCAAAAACCCTTATGACGAGGACTAAAACAAGGCACGTGACGTCGCCCGGTACGGGGGAGCCGCGACCCCACCCTGGAGCCAGGCCTGGGGTGGGGGTTCGTCGGCGAGCGCCTGGTGGTCGGGTTCTTCCTCGCGGGACCCGGCCGGGCCCAGCCCGAAGGAGCGACGCGAGGCCATCCCCCAGTGGGCCCACCACCTGCAGGGGGAACCATGAGGGACCGGTGCAAAGGGGATTGGGCGGCAGCCAGAGGCGGAGACCTTGGCGACCTGATCCGCGGGCGCTTAAACTTAACATAAATATTTCAAATTAAATGTAAATCTGAGCTATTTTAGTTGGCATCTGCTGATGCAGATACCCAACCCCTGATATGTGCTGATGATATTTTTGGGCCAATTCCTGGAATCGATACTGCTTTTTATTTTGCAATTAATATAAAATAAAATGATATAATGATACTAAATTATACAACAGGCTCAATTAAACAAACATGAATGTATGCATCTTTCAGCTCATAACAATAAAAGGAAAAAAAAAATGCTAATGTTCACCAAAAATATCTGCTAGCTGATACACAAGTCTATTTACAATACATTTACATTTTATACTGTAGAGACATGACAAGTTTATTCAGTTAAAAAATGATAAAACTCTTGCTTTCTTTCATCTAGGCGCCAGCTCTCTGCTTCTGAAACCAGAATTTATTTAAGTTTTACTTTATCATTATAATAATAATCACACATATTATTATTCCTCAACTTTAAGAAAGTAAAACTGATTCTGAATTTGATATCTGAGGGGAGCGTTTAACGGATCAATATGAGTTCTAATTCTAAATGTCAGTTAAAAACAAAATTTGACTGATATTATAACTTGTGAGATTTAGCTGCTGTTGCCTCCAAATCTATCAGCTTGTGTGGAAATCTCTGTCTGCTGCTTCTCTCCTAAATAATCCGGCCTACGTGGTATTAAGCTTTATTAATCCCACAAATCTGTGTCAATATAAAGGCATGTAAAGCAAATTAAAACATTCATTAACCTTAGTCTTTAGAATTACTACTGAATTGAAATTTTGGTTTGTGTTGTTGAATTTTTTCCACATTGTTTTTGTTTCCATTCATCAGATTGACCAGCTTTTGTTTTTCTTTTCTGTTGTTCTCCGAGTAGAAAGTTAAAGTCATCATGACAACACAACCAGTTAAAGTTCAATAAAGACAAAATAATCATGATTTTGTGTTTTTTTTTTTTTTTTATGTGATATCATTGTAAAGTACACAAACCTTACAGGGATTAAAATCCTAATATATAGTTGGTTACCCAGGGTTCCTACATGTTTCATGTAAAAGTTCCAGACTTTTCCACAGCCCTAATCCCACATTTCCCATTTCTTTAAATTAATTCTGAAATAAACAAGGCACATGGAAGGAAGGAAGGAAGGAAGGAAGGAAGGAAGGAAGGAAGGAAGGAAGGAAGGAAGGAAGGAAGGAAGGAAGGAAGGAAGGAAGGAAGGAAGGAAGGAAGGATAACAAGGCACGTGGGAAGGAAGGAAGGAAGGAAGGAAGGAAGGAAGGAAGGAAGGAAGGAAGGAAGGAAGGAAGGAAGGAAGGAAGGAAGGATAAACAAGGCACGTGGGAAGGAAGGAAGGAAGGAAGGAAGGAAGGAAGGAAGGAAGGAAGGAAGGAAGGAAGGAAGGAAGGAAGGAAGGAAGGAAGGAAGGAAGGAAGGAAGGAAGGAAGGAAGGAAGGACTCATTTAGACGGTGGGAAATATAAAAACAAAAGCTCCTACTTTCTTAACAGGTAAAATACTTAATTCAGGCTCCAAACTTTTTCAGACCAGTTAGGAACCATGCTAACAATTAAAACATTCATGACTTGGTGAAAAACCTCCAGAGTTCATTAAATCAATGAAGTAATTTAATATTACTTCAGATGAGCAGCATTTGCTCTTCTTTCATTCCACCAGCAGATGGCGACATCCATTCTTTCATAGAGTAGATCCCCCACTTATTGAACCTTTTCCATGTGAAAAACACCTCCAACCAAAACAGTATTAACATTGAAAAACCGTGTCTCTATGCTTTCTGTGGTTCCTATTAGGTCAGGTTCCCCGTAGTGTCAGAGTTTAACAGTGTAAACATACGTAGTGCAAACATACGTGTAAGGTTAGTGTCATGCAATGAAACTGCTTTAGCTTCGTCCAGTCTGGCTCCTGATGGTCTCTCCTGTCCGCGGACATCAACATGTCAGAAAGAATCAATTCTTATTTTCTAAAACCACACGTCTAAAAAAAAACAACAAAAAGCAATCGACTGATAAACACCCACTCGGTATAAAACAACATGTAGATTCTGTAAACTACTCTGATGCAGAGCTATTCAAACTTCTTCAGGTGATTGTAGAGGGACTGGACGTAGGTGAAAACACACATGGGGTCCGGTTTGTCCCCCATCTCCAGCATGTCGTCCACTTCGATCAGCCGCAGGCAGTCGGCCTGCTCCCTGAAACACAAAGACATTGGTCAACAATTCACATACAAACTGAAAAATTAGGAAAATGTTCTGGTGCTCTAAGATTTAGGAATATTTCATCAGCTAGATTTCATGGTGTTCACCAAGAGAGTTCCTCTAGAGTTACTAATGGAACCTAAAGGCTGGTTTGTGCTCAGAAACCAGGTCGTCTGGTGTGTCTCGTAGTTAACGCAGATATGTCCACCTCCCCTTCGCAGAATCTCTGCTGCACCCCTCCCAAATTGTAGGTGACTGCAGACAGGAGGCCTCTGATTGGTCAAATCTTTATCCGCTCTACACTATGCGTCTATGATCTGTGGTTGAAAAAGAAGCCCATATCCTCACCAAGCCACCACTAAGGATTAAAGCTGATATTAGGTGTTTTTGCTGATAGGCAGTGTTTACTTGCTCCAGTCTCATCTGCCCACAGGACATTGTTAGAAGTCTTCTCCATCATCCAGACATAGCTTTTGTTAAAGGTATATGGGAGGATATTATTTTTCTGGGTGGATCACCAAAATAATGGGGCCACCTAATTGTCAATCATTCTGGTCTCCATTTTCAATTAGTGAGTCTGACATAGTGGAAAATCTGCAAACCTTCTTCTGGAAAGAAAGCTTGTATGAGCCATGCAATCTTTTAAACAGAGCGTGCACGAGGAGAAATGGGCTTGTGCACGCTCTTGCATGCGTTTAATAGGCGTTTCCTCTCGGGAACGGGTACAGGGGTTGTGCATGTTTGTTTTGTTTTTTAGGGGAGAGGGTGGGTCTTTTCAAAAATTCAAGAAAATCCTCCACTATATCTTTAACTAACTGCTGCCTTTTTTTTTTTTTTTTTTTCTTATGAAAATAGGCCATTTCCTTCAGCTCTTCAAACAGTCATAATAATTTGGCGTTTTCTAACTGTCCTAAAAGATTGGCAGCTGTCTAAGTTGTTTTCCTCGTGGGAATTAATGTTATCTCTGCAGAATAATGGACTTCAGATAAATTGAGATTAGGTTATAACAACTGCTTCTCTATTGTTTCTCTAATGTGATTGCTCATGTTTTTAGACCCTTGCACATTTCCTAAAGGAGATCACACTTGTGTAATGAGTGGTAAAACCATCCTGTTTAACTCCTCTAACTTAAGACATCCTTTTAACTCTTAGTCAGGATGTCCCGATAATAAAACATGCTGCAAAATCCTGCAAATTAATTGCAGTATTGAGTATCATCAGCAAGAATCATACATACTTTTGTTCTTTATTTCTTAGAACAGAGAAACAAAACCAACAGCACTTATGAGAACACTTCCAATACTGGGTTATATAACATTTAAACTTAAACATTGGAATTAATTTAAAAATTAATAAAATAAAAATGTATAATTTAAAGAATATCCAATATCAGTGTCGGATCAGGACCTCCATTGCTAGCAGTTGATTATAACAATTTATGTTTTAAGTGAAGCTTTCAAAAAAAAAAAAAAAAAAAAAGATGAATGCTATTGTAGTTTGGTATAGCTTGCCATGGAAATAATAGATATTTCATTCGGAGGTAAATAAAATAATAAAACATTTGGAAGGATTGGGGGACCCTGAACACTAGATGGAGCAAAAAGCAAGCAGAGATCAGGGTTTTTTTCAACCTATAGGAGACCTTAAAGGATCAAACGCTTAAATAGGAACAACCTTTGAAAATAATTTATTTTTCATTATGAGAATTAATGATGCTGAGTTTTCAGTTTATCTTTCCATTTAGATAACCTCATCTAAGCTGTTAAGGGAGCAGTTTTGGGTTATTTTTGCTCAAAAGACCAAGTGATTGGACCTTTTCAGGGAGGATGAGGGATTTGTGTAGAGAGGAACCTAACAGGGTTTGGGCCTTTATTAATTATCTCAATTTATTCGTTGACTTTTTCCGCTTGTCCTTGCAGACAGCTCACCAAAAGACAATATTTAGAACCATGCATACAGACCATGGACGAAATTTAGGTTTCTGCTTGGTCCTAGTGCTGTGCTGTAGTTTTTGTAATAATAATATATATTATATATTGTTTTTGGACAGTAAAACGTGCAGGGGACAAAAAACAGATGTTTGAAAAAGTGCATTGGATGTGCCCCACCCCCCAAAAAAATAACGTCCATGATACAGACTCATACCTTTGGATAGAATAAAGTTCTTAGTAGTGTTCTCGGTTGTGTTTAGGGGTTTTTGTCCAGCTTGCTTCACTTACTCTGCTGTAGTGAAGGCCAGCTCCAGGTTCTGTTTACGGTTCGCCGGATTCAGAGCGTTGTATTCAAACTCCAGTGGGAAGAAAGAGTGGACCAGAGCGCAGAAGGCCATGCCGTCACTCCAGCTGGACGAGAAGTTCTGGATGTCTATGTTCTAAAAGCCAAATAACAGGAAGTGGTTTCAGTGAAATGTTTATTAATGCACTGGTTTGTTTTCCTCCATTCCCCTTTAGCTGAAGGAAAAACTGTGAGACCAGTTTATGTTAAGAATTTATAGAGCAAGTTACCATTTAGGATCACTTGCATACCCCTTACAAATGGAGTCCACCCCCGTCCCTCAGTGAGGTCTAGTAGCACAAGATCTATATCCAACCATTCAGCAAAGATACTGCTGTACATCTTATTTTGGCATTTGACCAATTAGATGAGTATGGAAGCCCGTTTCCGACACTCTAAAAAAAACTAAAATAAAATTATCTCATTATAATGAGATAGTATTGCATTATATTAAGATACTATCTCATTGTAATGAGTTACTATCTCATTCTAATGGGTTATTTTTTTTCTTTTTTACAGAGTGGCGGAAACGGGCTTCCATAGATGAGCCCTTGAATGATATATTACCTACTGTAAATTAAAATGAAAAAAAGTTAACAAGTCAAGAAAAAAAGGTAAAAGAAGCCTAGTTAACAATTATATTTAGGTTAATAAACTAAAAAATGTAAATGCCAGTATCAGCATTAATGCCTCTCAGGTTATGTTGAACTCTCAGAGTGCTTTTCATGAATTTCTTATAAAAGCAATTGTTATTTTTCCTAATATATTCGGGCAAGATGGCATTTCTTGTTATTACGATGACATTAATTTTTGTTATCAAAATATCCATATTTTTTGAATGTTACAAAGGTAATAAGGTCTTGTCCTGGATTCCAATAACAGTATTGGCTTGAAATTGGGTTGGTATGTGAACAATGTTGGCCAGGATCTTTTAGACACTAACTACCATTTTTATGCTGATAACATGGTTTTTTACAGTTTTGGAAAAAAAAAAACCCTAGTGTGTGTGTCTCTACGTTACAAATTGCTTTTAATTCGGTTCAGTACAGGCTTTTAAAACTAGATTTTTCTTTAAATTCAAATAAAAGTAAAATTATGCTATTTTCAAAAACAAAGACAAAATTGCAAAATAGCTATCCTCTTATCACCTTGCATGGGTCAGAGATAGAAAGGGTTCAATCTTTTAAATATTTAGGAATTTTAATTGATGAAACTCTAAATTTTAAACCTCATGTTGAACAATTGATTAAGAAACTCAGACTGAAAATTGGCTTCTTCTTCAGGAATAGGCTTTGTTTCTCTTTTAATTCGAAGAAGAGACTGATAGCTGCAACGTTTTTACCCATTCTGGATTATGGTGACCCAATCTACACTCACCAGCCACTTTATTAGGTACCCCATGCTAGTAATGGGTTGGACCCCCTTTTGCCTTCAGAACTGCCTCAATTCTTCGTGGCATAGATTCAACAAGGTGCTGGAAGCATTCCTCAGGGAGTTTGGTCCATATTGACATGATGGCATCACACAGTTGCCGCAGATTTGTTGGCTGCACATCCATGATACGAATCTCCCGTTCCACCACATCCCAAAGATGCTCTATTGGATTGAGATCTGGTGACTGTGGAGGCCATTTGAGGACAGTGAACTCATTGTCATGTTCAAGAAACCAGTCTGAGATGATTCCAGCTTTATGACATGGCGCATTATCCTGCTGAAAGTAGCCATCAGAAGTTGGGTACATTGTGGTCATAAAGGGATGGACCAGCCTGAACCGTTGATACAAGGCAGGATGGATCCATGCTTTCATGTTGTAGACGCCAAATTCTGACCCTACCATCCGAATGTCGCAGCAGAAATTGAGACTCATCAGACCAGACAACTGAACTTTACATACACGTGGGCTGGCCAGCATTAGAGACTCGTAGACTCACTCACTGGTATATGATGATTTATAAGGGTGTTCTGCGTCTGCTTCCCTCATACCTCTGTGAGTACATTCAACCAAGAGCGGCTGGACTGTATTCTCTACGTTCTCAAGAGTCTTTGCTTCTGTCTGTACCTAGTGTCCGCACTGAAGCTGGAAAGACAGCTTTTCAGTACTCTGCCCCCACAGCATGGAACAATCTTCAGAAAGACTGGAAATTGAAGGATTTGATTCCAATCGGACATTTTAAACGATTGCTCAAAGGTCTGGAAATGAGATCTATGGTTTGTAACTGTTTTATGAATTTCTAATTATAGATAGATGTAATTGTAAACTGTAATGTAATCTTTTGCCGCCGTCTTGGCCAGGACTCCCTTGAAAAAGAGATTGTTAATCTCAATGGGACTTTTTCTGGTTAAATAAAGGAATAATAAAAATGTGGATTTTCCCTGAATGCCCTATAAAGGGTTCAATCAGACCTTATAACCAATGGTTTTGGAGCGGCACCACTCCAGAAGGATTTGCTTTATCCCACTGGCGCTGGAAACGCCGAAACTCTGGGAGCGCTTTAGCTTGGGCTTGGAATCCTTTGGCCTGTTTGAATAAAAAAGAAAAACACCAGATTATATGAAAAGATTTATTTTTGTAGCACAAAGAATCTGATCTGAATTCTCTTACTTTATGGGCTCCGAGTTCATCCTCTCAAAAAGGGCGCGTTTGGCCTGGGCCCCGTTGGAGCGTGGAAGTGTTTGGGATTTGAGTGTTTCTTTTTTTAACTCAACCCCCCCAGAGTTGTTAGATCTGCTGAAGGGATCACAAACATGTTTTGAGTTTTATCATGTAATCAACCTTGTAGAAGGGATCTTATGTTGGAGAAGCTGATATTAAATCATAACATACTTATCCAGTCTGGGTGAGAATCCAGATTTTATGAAGGATTTGGAAGGAAGTAGTTTTTCTGCAAAGAAAATTAGTAGAAATCTCAGAGTGGAGTGAAAAAAGACAGAAAAGTCTACTAACCTGAAACCTAGTCGTACCTGCAGGTTGAGGAAAACTCACACTCCTCTTTAAACTTGGACTCGGCGCCTTTAGAACCGGTGCTTAAGTGTTAAATGCAACAGAACCAAGATTCAGAGCAAATATAACAGAAGTAGAAGATTTTTAAGTGTTTGTTGATTGTTGAAAGAGTAAACTCACCTCTCTTAAAGGGATATTCCCCTGGTTTTACTGTGAGGTCCAGTGATGTTGGGAGAGGCTGAGCTGAAACAGCCGGCTCTGCGTTTGGCCTGGTTATAGCAGAGAGAGGCAGGTGGGATCGGGGTTCATTTATGTCACATCTGACTGAATGATCGCTTTGCTTTGCTGTGGCCGATTCTTGCATTGGAGGGTTCAGGCGTGAAGCAGAAGGTGGATCAGATTTAGAAGCTGAAGGAACATCTGAGCTGGCTTTGGTGGCAGCAGAGATGGGAAGATGAGACCAAGCCTGAGAGTCAGATTGGTCCTGGATATTCCGAGTTGTTCCTACGCAAATACAGAGGGAAAAGTATCACACTTGAGTATTTCAGGTCATTGCACCAATTTTAGAACCAGAGGAAAATAAACAGAGTAGAAAAAAAATGTAGATTTTAATTTATTTTATAAGGTATAAACTCATATAAATCCTCACTGAATTAAACAGGGGGCCATCACTTTCTACCATAGCAGTATTTTAACTGTTATTTGACTTAAATGACTTTTTTTTGATCCCCGAAACAAACATGCTGCACTGATTTCAGTTCAAAAGCTGCTGATCTTTCTGAACCAACCTCCAGTAACTAAACGATCTACTGCAGCTTTCCGCCCCGATGCCGGAGAAAGGAAACCCTCCAGACCGGCTTTGGTGGTCATGGCAGTGACAGGCAGGTGGGGCTGCAGTTCTTCAGGTTTTAGAAAAGAAAAACAAAAATAGGAGGAGAGTTTCCTCTCTTAACATAACATTTGAGGCTTTTCGTTCTTAGAGAAAGACAGAAGCCATGTTTCCACTCACCACTTTTTAGAATACTCTGGGATTCGTTGCTGGTTTTGGCCGTCGAAGTTGGAGATGGAGTGCCTGGGGTAGAATCTGAGCTGGTTTTAGTCATCCCAGTTAGAGGAAGATGCAGTTTGGTCGACAGACCTGGTTCCTCCTGGTCTAGAGTAACAAACAATCAATTAACCAGCATCCTATCAGAGTGCAGCCAATGTTCTTCACAGGATCAATTACGGCTGTAAGGACGACTCCATAGCAGGGATGTAAAGGAAGAAAAAAACAAGTTTGATACCTTAAAGTCCTGTTTCTGTTCATTACCATCATAAAAAGAAACAAAGACGATTTTTTTTTTACCTAAGTCTGTCATGATCTGCCCTGATAGCTCATCTAAATGACTCATGCCTGTTTAACTCTCTCTAGCTCCCAATTATCACTCATCTCATCCTCCTGCAGGTTTCCCTTATATTGGGCTCAGTTCCAGCTAACAGGGGCAGATCATTGTTTGTTTGCTTTCTGTTTGTTACCCGTTTGATTCCGGTTAGCGTCCTGTCTGTTGGTTTTGTTAATTTTAGTTATTTCCTAGGTGCATGTTCCAGTCAGGAGTTTATTCTTAAGTCAGTGTCTTCAGGCGAGTTATTTTGCCTAACCAGTGGTGAGAGTGTTTCTGCATTTCCCTAGTGATTCTGTCTTCCTGATTCCGTTCCCTCTCACACACTGGCCCTGTCTGTCCCTGCCTGATCTGCCCGCCTGAACCTCGGTTAGACTCCTAATGGATTTTGCCTCTCTGTCTGTTCTGTCTCAGCTGGATGCTCGACGCACAGGACTCTGAGCCTGCCTTCGTGCTCTGATGATTCCTGGAACCCGGATCGGTCCATTCCTGATTGGACTGTACTGTTGAACCAGGTAAGTGACTCACTCTAATTATCATCTTCTGTTCAGATGATCAAGCTCACTGACCTGTTTCTCTCTACAGCAGGGGTTTCAAACTGGTCCCAGAAAGGCCCGTATGGCTGCAGGTTTTCTTTCCAACCAAGCAATAGCACACCAGACTCCATTCATCTCAGCAAGTAATCATGTTAAGACTGGACTTACTTGATGAGATGACTGGAGTCTGGAGTGCTATTGCTTGGTTGGAAAGAAAACTTGCAACCACACGGGCCTTTCTGGAACCAGTTTGAGAACCCTGGTCTACAGAATCAGTAATGGGTTGTAGGGATGGAACGGTTTATGAAAACCGTCCGAACCGTTCGGTTCGACTGTCTCGGTTCGGTTCGCGTGTGTTGCGTTCGGTTCATGCGCTGCTCCTTTTTCTCATAGGCGAAGTGTTTACACTCCAGAGCAGAAGGTGGTGGTACTGCGACCAAAGCCAACCACCAGTAGTAAACAAGAAGAAGAAGAAGAAGCGAAGCAGCGTAGCCGGGTGTAGCAGAAGAAAATCAGTTGTTGTGGAGAATTGTGTGGGTATGGCGAGTGGGAAAGAACAGGAGCTGGAAGACGCGCCAGCAGCACTTTATAGGTCTGCTGTATGGGACCACTTTGCATTTAGAGTGACCTACGATGACGGCGGAAAGAAAGTTGTGGAGAAAATTGCAACAGTGTGCAAGCATTGTGCAACATGTGTTGTTTATGCTAACAGCAACACGACCAACATGTCAGCTCACCTCTCTTGCAATGCCAGACTCTCACCCACTTTTAACCTAAGACTGTCACAAAGATTGTATCAAATATCAGACTGCTTTTTTCTTTCAGTTTTAACCTGACTCAATCAACATATACCGAACCGAAAACCGTGACCACGAAACCGTGAACCGAACCGTGGATTTTGTCAACCGTTACACCCCTAATGGGTTGCACCCCACACCTGCAGTCGCTGCGGTCGCAGTTCCTTAGCAGCGAGCTTCTGTTTTTGTTTTAATAAACTTTTTGAACTTTCCTACTGACTGTCTCACCTTGAATACTTGGTCCACTGTCCCGTTTATGACAAAATCATAGGTAAACAAAGACACTGCTACAATTTCCGGAAGGAGCCTGAAAGGATATTGGTTTCCAGTGGTGCCTAAATTCAGCACAGAAGGTGTCCAACATGTTGGGAGAAACCCTGTAATCAGATGGACTCAGTGCGAATTTGAAAAATTCTGCCTTCATTCAAGGTAACTCATTAATGAAGAGCTATCTTATTATTGTTGGAAAAATAGTTACCAAGATTTTTTTTTTCTCAGTCCACCTTTTCTTTCTTGATCGTGTAGCTGGAAAGGAAACGTTTACTAATAACAGACTGGATCTGTAGCTGACAGTAATGCTCTGTTTTAATTGTGCAGCTTTGCGTATAAATTTGTTCTTTAGTTCTGCACATAGACCTTCTTATTTTTTTTTTTTTAAGAATGCATTTCCTACCCAAAAACTTGCTAAACCAAAGCGTGACCTACCCTGAAAAGAGTCTCAAAACAAGCTTCATAAAAGATTTTAAGCTTCAGTTTTTTGTTGAAAACAAAGTTATTTCGGTGAATCCAGGATCTAGACTAAGGGAAGATAAAGATGACCTGAACTGACTGGTTGGACTGAGGGTTTCTGTTGCAGAGGACAGAGTCCGGTGGGAGTCGGGCGTGGCATCTTCACAGCTTTCCAACTTGATTCCTGTCAGAGGAAAACGGAGCGTTTAGACAAATCTGAGGTGACATTTGATGAAGTATACGACTAAACAGCTATTCAGCTTTATTTACCAGCTCTAGCAAATGTAGTTCTAATTAGAAAAATCTAAAATACCTAGAATGCTTAAACTGTAATATTATAGACGGAAAACTGGCCTGATCCTCTAAAATCTCCTGATATTTGGATTTTTTCTGTTTTTACACCATAGAATAAAAGTTTCAAATAAACAAACTCTTTAGTAAACTGAGGTAACTGTAGAATTATCCTGCCAGTTTTTTTTAATAATCAAACATGAAAAAATACAAAAGAAAACCCATACATTTAAGTATATATAAATGTTTACATCAGTTAGTAAAATAATATACATTAGTAAGAACATAAAACATCCAGTCCTATCTCTATGTCATTATAGAAGTTATTATTTAAATTAGTTCAATTATAACCCATACATATGAGTGCATGCACAGGCATATTGGTGATGTAGCATTTCATATTTAGACAACCTAAACATTAAACATGCTTTTTTAATTAATAAGGGGAATAATCTGATGCAAACTTCAGCCTCGGAGGAAAGCGAGGATGCTAAAGGCTTTGTGTGGAGCAGCCGCCTACCTTGTTTATGATTCTCCTGAGCATCTGGGGCTTCTTCGGAGTTCTCTTTGCCTTCTTTCGCAGTGGTGCCCTGCAATTTTAAAACAAATTGGGAATGAATCAGATTATTTTAACGGATAAAAACTATAAAAGGTGAGTTTCTATTAGAGATAACCAACAGGAATCAGAGTGAGAAAACAAACCCATTGATGTGCAACGATTAAAAACCCATTTTTAAAATTATAACTTTTTTATGTTAATCATTTAAAAAGCTTACTAAATCACCATCTGATATGAATGCATGTTATATTTGAGGTGTATGGTGTCTCATATACTTTGGTTTACAAAGAAAAGGATGGATGGATGGATGGATGGATGGATGGATGGATGGATGGATGGATGGATGGATGGATGGATGGATGGATGGATGGATGGATGGATGGATGGATGGATGGATGGATGGATGGATGGATGGATGGATGGATGGATGGATTGAATGATGGATGGATGGATGGATGGATGGATTGGTGCATGGATTGAATGATGGATGGATGGATGGATGGATGGATGGATGGATGGATGGATTGGTGCATGGATTGAATGATGGATGGATGGATGGATGGATGGATGGATGGATTGGTGCATGGATTGAATGATGGATGGATGGATGGATGGATGGATGGATGGATGGATGGATTGGTGCATGGATTGAATGATGGATGGATGGATGGATAGACGGATGGATTGGTACATGGATAGATGGATGGATGGATGGATTGGTGCATGGATTGAATGATGGATGGATGGATGGATTGGTGCATGGATTGAATGATGGATGGATGGATAGACGGATGGATTGGTGCATGGATTGAATGATGGATGGATGGATGGATAGACGGATGGATTGGTGCATGGATGGATGGATGCATTGACGGATTGGTGCATGGATTGAATGATGGATGGATGGATGGATGGATGGATGGATGGATGGATGGATTGAATGATGGATGGATGGAAAGACGGATGGATTGGTGCATGCAAGTAGGGACGGATTGGTGCATGGATGGATGGATGGATGATAGATGGATGGATGGATTGGTGCATGGATGGATGGATGGATGGATGGATTGGTGCATGGATGGATGGATGGATGGATTGGTGCATGGAAGGATGGATGGATGGATGGATGGATGCGTTGACGGATTGGTGCATGGATTGAATGATAGATGCATGGATGGATGGATGGATGGATTGGTGCATGGATGGATGGATGGATGGATTGGTGCATGGATGGATGGATGGATGGATGGATGGATGGATGCGTTGACGGATTGGTGCAAGGATTGAATGATAGATGCATGGATGGATGGATGGATTGGTGCATGGATTGAATGATGGATGGATGGATAGACGGATGGATTGGTGCATGGATTGAATGATGGATGGATGGATGGATTGGTGCATGGATTGAATGATGGATGGATGGATAGACGGATGGATTGGTGCATGGATTGAATGATGGATGGATGGATGGATGGATAGACGGATGGATTGGTGCATGGATGGATGGATGCATTGACGGATTGGTGCATGGATTGAATGATGGATGGATGGATGGATGGATGGATGGATTGAATGATGGATGGATGGAAAGACGGATGGATTGGTGCATGCAAGTAGGGACGGATTGGTGCATGGATGGATGGATGGATGATAGATGGATGGATGGATTGGTGCATGGATGGATGGATGGATGGATGGATTGGTGCATGGATGGATGGATGGATGGATTGGTGCATGGAAGGATGGATGGATGGATGGATGGATGCGTTGACGGATTGGTGCATGGATTGAATGATAGATGCATGGATGGATGGATGGATGGATTGGTGCATGGATGGATGGATGGATGGATTGGTGCATGGATGGATGGATGGATGGATGGATGGATGGATGCGTTGACGGATTGGTGCAAGGATTGAATGATAGATGCATGGATGGATGGATGGATGGATTGGTGCATGGATGGATGGATGGATGGATTGGTGCATGGATGGATGGATGGATGGATTGGTGCATGGATGGATGGATGGATGGATGGATGGATGCGTTGACGGATTGGTGCATGGATTGAATGATAGATGCATGGATGGATGGATGGACGGATGGAATTGTTACCCATATTAGTCTTGTAGTAGATACTGATTTTAAAAATCTTGGGTTTTTAGATATTCAACTCTTCACTTCAGTTATTAGAAATCGGCTCACAGAAGAAGGTGATGGTGGAACCTGCATGCTGCCGAGATGCTCGACCTAATTTTTAATGGTTATTATTAGTAGTAAATCTGTTTCTCTGTGGGCTTAAGCACACTTCTCTGCTTGTGGGACGGTCAGCTGTTAACAGCTTCTCCTTCTATGACAGCTGTGGCCAACAAACCCGGGTTCCCACTGAGAGCTATTTTAGATTTGTAAGAGTTTCCGCTGCACTCTTCTTACATCCCAATATAGACCCAAATGGATGTTTGGAAGTAAGAGGCACACGCTGAGAGCTGCAAAGTGACTATGAGGATATAAGCTTCCCTTCTGCCGCCTCCCATCATGCCTCCTGCTTCTAAGAGGCATGCAGACCTCTGGCCACCATACAGCTTCTGCATCAATCCATCATCGGGGGGGAGATTATTGCCGCTCTGATATTTGGGCTTCACTCGAGGATATAACAGTCTGACTGTCTGACCTCGCCGATCCTCCTGAACCTCCAACTAAAACCTTACCTCCTCACAGCTTTCAGTCCATCTCAGAAACATGCAAACATGCTTTCGGCAGGAAAAAACAAAAACAAACATATAGCTCGTTTTTGATTTAAAAAAAAAGCTTTACTTAAAGTTTCATCCAAACACCCCAGATAGAATTTAACGCTAAATCCACAGTTAGATGCTTATGACTGATGCATATCATGTGAGCCCGTCAAATGTCTAAAAGGTTCTTTAAGTTCTGGAAAATACATATCAGTGATGCCTACCATGCACATAAAGCAGGTCATAATGGACAATAATAAAGAGCGGTAAAGTCCACCAGGAATCAAGATTGCTCTTGTCTTATTCTGAAATAAGTTTGCAACTAATTTGCGCATCCATCCACCTGCAGCTTCTCTATTAAAACTGGTTTTTGAGCTGTGGAAGAAAGCCACCGTGAGGGAACTGACACATTCTATAGAATATACCAATGCTGTGCATTAAGGTTTTGGATTTGAGCTGAGAACAGCTACACTTTCTGCAGCATAGCGCGGCCCAGAACTGGTACAGGTGGAGAGAAAAATAGGTGGACCAAGAACAGACCCCTGGGGGACTCCTCATTTATAAAAACACTAAGGATTACAGAGGTAGTTTGCTCGGTGCATGAACTGAAACAAATCAAGATCAATTCTTCAAGTGTCAGTAAAAAAGTTAAAGTTGTAAGCTTCTCTAAGAAGAGTTCATCTCTGGATAGAAGTAATCTCTCTAATGAGAACGTGTATGAGAAACACACCTTTGTCACAAAAGAGACTTTCCAACTCATTTTCAGAAATGAAGGAGAGTTCAGAATCTGTCGATTAAAAATACCTGGAAAGAAGATTTCCCAATGGCCGAACCACCTTTGCCCCTGTCCTTCCAGATCCTTCAACATATCAAAGCTCTTCTCTTCATCTCCAAGCCAACCGACACTTTCATTACCCTAAATTCACCTCTATGTCTTCAGATCATGGCTGATATCTTATGATCAGAGCTCAAGATGGAAAAAATCAGCAACAAATTTACCGCTCTTATCCCTCTGTCTATCTCTGGCTCCATTCTACTCTATGTACATCTTCACTCTTAGCATGTTGACATAAAAACACCCGGTGGTTAATATAGACAGTGTTGGGAAACATTAAGCATCACTGTGGGAGATGATGTTCTTAAAAAGCATCGATTGAAGTGATGAAAACATAGATAAGGAGTTGAGGGTTTTACCTGCTCAGTGACGGGGAGATGGGGGGGTATTGTTGGGGGAGACACGGCTGACCTTAAAGAGAGGTTGACCTCAGCAGAGAGGAATGTTGGCTTGGTGTGTGTTTCCAGAGGACAGCTGCTTGTCTCTCTGAAGTGTGCGAGCTGATGGGTTGAATTGACAGCGACGTAGACTTTCCATCAGGAGACTTGAGACTCAATTTGGCTCAAAGGCTAAATTCCTGAGTGATTATGGGGGTGGGCCTATTTATATATTTGAATGACGTCTTGAGATGCCATATGGTAGGTGCGCTGACGTTAGAGCGATCTCTGAGTTTGTAGTTTTAAACATGTAATCAGCAGCATTCTGGGCTGTAGTTTATCATTTAGAGATAAAGCCTCTGCCCCTAGTAATGGCTGCAGAACCATGGATGCCTCAGATAAGGGTGGAAGACCCAGAGCTGCAGCCCATTCCCTAATCACTGACCCAAAAATACACATGCCCTTTGGAGGACCTGCCGCAAAAAAAAAAGGGGGACATGGGCATCAAAGAGACAAGAAACGGGCTCTTGTGGGATTTTTGGGGGGTAAATTTGAGCTAAAATTAAAAACCTCTACATTGGGGTGCTACATTTAAAATCAGCAACGATTATTTTGGTCGTATCTGTTGCTGTGAGGCGGTAAGGTGGTGCTGCAACTCTGAGGTCAGAGGTTAAAGATCTACACAACCAGCTCTCTGCAGCGGTCCTCCGCTTCTGGGTGCTTTTCTCGTTTAGATAATAAAATATAATCTGTACTAATCCCTGCAGAAAATAAAGAAATCATGAAGAAGTCAAACTTCTATTCAGTGCCGAAGGTAGTACGCTTTGGTTGTTTAACCCTTTAAAACCCAGTTTATCATATTTGATGAATCAGTTTTTGAGACCTCATAATCAGTGTGATCTTTTTGTTCTTAAAAACCCTGACTTACACAATCATTTGGTGAACAGAGAACGTCTAAAATATTCTACAGAATGCCAAACCTATTAAATTTGCTAATTTAACTAGCCAATATATATATATATATATATATATATATATATATATATATATATATATATATATATATATATATATATATATATAGTAAAGTAGTGGAGTTGTTAGGATGAAGCTGTTAAAGGTTAGATATCTGTAGAGCTACCACAATGTTGGTGTTATTCTGGAGGTTTAAGAAGCATTGACAATCTCTGCTTTAAGAAGGTAAATAAACCAGTAATAGCTCTAAATATGAAGAACTGGAACTCAATGAGACAGACAGACAGCTATTTCTGCCATATGCCAATGAGCAAGGCACTTAACCTGAAGCTACACTGCAAAAAAATGTAAATCTACAGTCATTTTGTCTTAAAATGAGTGCATTTTTTTCTTGAATTGAGGAAGAAAGTGAGACGCTTTGCCAATGGAATGAGACAATTTACAGTTAAAATAAGAAAAAAACAATTGCTTTGGCTTATTTCAAGTGCATATTATCTATTTATCTTATTCTAAGAGTGAAAATACTCATTCTACTGGCAAACTAACTCATTAACCTAGTAAAATTAAGGGTAAATACACTTAATTCAAGAAGATTTTAATCATTTCTAGATCATTTTTCCAGTGTAATTGTATTACAAGGAATGAATTCATTCCTCATTCACTGCAAAAACAATCCAGAAATAAGTAAAAAATGGCTTAAATTAAGTATATTTAGCCTTAATTTGAGCAGGTAAATAAGATGATTTGCCAATGGAATGATTATTTTCACTCTTAAAATAAGATAGTTAGATAATATTTACTTGAAATAAGACGATAAAATAGTTTTTTCTTATTTTAAAAGGAAATTGTCTTGTTCCATTGGCAAAGTGTCTTACTTACCTCCTCAAATCAAGGAAAAACACACTTATTTTAAGAAAAAATAACTTATTGAGATTTATATTTTTTGCAGTGTTGCGTTTGATTCTGATAATTCTTGAGGCTTTTTGCAGGTCTTTGCAGTTCCTGCTTATTTTCAGTGCGCCACTGAACCCCTCTATAATAGCAGAAACTCTCATGAGGGAGGACCCTAACCTTCAGTATATATAGTTTACCACCATAAAAAAAAAAAACTCCTCAACCAGTTCAACGGACAACTTAGACATCACTAATATTCCAAAAGACAACCAGCCTATGGGATTTCAGCTGTACATTGGAAAAAAATCAAAAATATAAATAAGTCATTTATTCTTAAAATAATTGCTTTTGCTTTGGATTGAGGAGGTAAAAGAGACATTTTGCCAATAGAACAAAACAATTTACACTTAAAATATGAAAACACAATTGCATTGTCCTTTTTTAAGTGCATATTATCTAATTATCTTATTTTAAGAGTACAAATACTGATTCCATTCGCAAACTATCTTATTTAGCTACTCCAATTAAAGGTAAATACACTTAATTTAGGATATTTTAAATCATTTCTAGATCATTGTTTAGTGTAGCATGTATATTCTAATCAGAAACTTAACCAACCAACAGTAATTACACAAAGATTGCTTTTAATTATATTATCTGCATTAGCGTTTGTTGTTTTTACGGAGGGCCCTGTTCCATCTTTGAGGAGTTAACTCCTGTCTGATGAAGGGAGAATATGGAGGAGAGTTGGTTGTAGGTGCAGCAGAAAGTAACCTTAGTAAAAATCATGACCTTTCAGAAGATGTTTGCCTTTTAGAAATACGTATCAAGGCCTAACGCTTTGAAAGTACTCCTACATTTTCCACCTGCTCCAATTAGCAGAAACTGTTGGTATTTTCTGGAATTATTACTGGATTAAGAATGGACTTGGATCAAGGAAGATGTGAAACCACTGATCCAGACTTCCATACATCTTTAAATTAGGGTGCAGCATCTTTAATCATTAGGCCAGGGTTTTGCTGTGGAAGAAGCAGAGATTATACTCACATTAGTTTCTGCATGTCTCCTCTGTCTCCATGGAGGAGGAGCAGGGATGTTTTCTGTTGCAGCAGCAGATCCTGATGCTCCAGGTTGTGCAGAAACACTCCAACCAGTTTCTGGTCCAACACAGTTAGGAGGCCCCGTCTCCTCTCGGCTTTCCTTATCATTCCTCCTCAGCCCTGTGAGGCCCTCCACCAGGTGGCTCAGCGCCTCAAGCTTGGCCCTGAGCTGCAGGTTCTCCTCCTGCAGTCTGGACACCGCCTCGGTCAAGGGCCGGTTGGACACACACAGCTCGTCCATCCGTTGCTCGATGCGCTGCTTGAAGGCGCTCACGTCCACATGAACTTCCCTCACAGCAGCTTCCAGCGTGACCTTGAACCCAGCAAGAGCCTGGCTCACCGTTACCTCCTGAGCTCCTACCTCAGCTTCATCCATGGTTTCTCTAGTGACCTTCAGGGCTTCTTTGGATGCACACCCTCCCTACTTATTTAAATCCAGTCCTTTAAAATGTTACTCTTAACTAATCCTAACAAATTACTGAAAGCTTTCTGTTGATCTTTCTAATGCTTCAGAAGCAGGATTCCTGTTGCAGAAACATAAAGATATCCTGCTGAGCTCCATGGAGAACTTCTCTCAGCTTCCCTCCCTGCCAGTCTGAGGATAAGTGCGGTTGCTTGTTTTTTATGAGTCATGGAAAGTGTCTGAATGACACTTTGGAAAATGGATCAGTTTCTAAACGCATGCGAGAGCCATCAAACCAACCTTTCCACAGAGTCCAGTTTTTTTGCTTGCTCCCATCTGCTGCAGGACGCACACCCCTGCTGCCCCCCCCACAGCCCGCTCTGTTGTTTGAGCTATCTATGGCTGCTGAGCTGGTGTGCAGCAGGTTCACGTCTGTATTTTGGGACATAAAGGGGGCGGGAAGAGATAAAACGGGAAGGAGGGGCCAGGATTATGTAGGTGTTTGCGTCCCCTTCAGCTGCCATTTGAACTGTGGGTGTCAGTGGTGTGTGTGTGTGGCCATGTAGTCATATTGTGAGGAAAACGTGAAACCAAATTCCCAGGAATATTCTACACTGTGGGGACTTACAGGTATTTTTATGGACAGTTGACTGAATTTAGGTTGGGCTAAGGGTCAGGATAAGGCCATAGAAATTATTTGAGGGGTACTTTTGAGGGGTAGATTTTGATTTCTCTACATTTTCTAAGTCTGGAAAACATGTTTGGATAAATCTGGAGAAAGAAACTAAATGTTGTTTCCTATCCTCTTAATTTGTCTCTCCTCCTTCCCCGTTTACTTCCAGCTACCCAACTTTGTATCTTTCCAAGCATCTTTCTAGTGAAGCCCTTCCTCTCCTCCAGGTTCCCACAGACAGTCTCTCATTTTTGCATTTGATTTTATGTCTTTCCTCCTGATTTTTGTGCGTTTTACTGCATTTCCAAACTCTTTTCATCTCACCACCCTTCCATAAGTCCTCCATTTTGCTTTTTTGGCTGGAATCCTACCTCTGATCATATTTATTTTTGCCTTGATTCCTTGGATCCTTGCTCATGTCCTACATCTTTTCACTTCTTTAGACCCTGTGTCCTTCCATCCGACCTTGTTTTTCCTGCTACTTGTGTCCTACTGTTAGGTTTAAACACCAAACATTTTATGCAGTAACCTGTACAAAGAAAGACACAGAGAATTTTAGTATGATTTACTTGCAAGGAGAGTGATCAGAGACTGTTCAGTTACAATTCTCCAAACCACTCTGAAACAGCTCTGCCCTCACAAGCCTTTATTAAAGGAAACGCCCTGGCTACAATGTTGGTTCCGACTGCTAAAGGGAGGGGTTGAAACCCAGTCGGTACCAGAAGTTCTGCATCACATCATACAATATCATGAGATAAGGAGTGCTTCACTCCTCATCCGGTGCCAGTACGTGCAATCCTCCATTCTCCTGACCTTGCTTCCTGCACACACTAATAACAAGCATTAGAAAGACAGCAAGTGAAACATTTCAACACTTTGTGTAATACAAGTATACAGGAATATGCAAATGTGTAAATATGAATGTATAAGTATAATATGATTAAAGTAGAATAACTTGTACAATTAATCCAACACCTACCTTATTTGCTTATATCTGACCAATTAATAATATCAATCTAATTAATATTTCTATGTTGAAAAACCTAAAGTGAAGCACTGGGAACTTTTTTAAACAGGATTTAGGTGTCGAGGGATCAACTTTCTGCATGAAGACCCAGAGAATCACAGAACCTCTGCCGTGCATATCTATAGTCATAAGATGCTTTCCCACAGATTCCTCCTTTGTCTTAATCCAGAGCTTCCCAAAAGTTTTGATTAAACTTCACGTTCATACTTGTTTTGATGGTAGGACATGACATTTAACAAAAAAAAAAAAAAAAAAAAAAAAACTTAGCAGGTAGGTTTTCTGTTATGGAGAAGACCAAGATCAGATTTTATTCCACCGCTACATCTTCCTCCACATTGAGAGAAAATAAAAAGACAATCCTGAACCCTACTCCTACTTTTTTTCCTCACAGTTGCAGCCGATTTCAAACCTTTTAACTATTTCTGTCAGCGAGTTTAGGTGAGACCACATCTTCTTGTCCGGATAAACTCTTGTGCCTTAGTTGGATTTTTTCCTTCTTTGAAGAATGGCTGAGGGTAACTGGGCTTTTTGTAGCTGACGTTCCAAAGTGCTCATCTGAACAAAACTTTCTTTAACTTAAAAAGGAGGCTGAATATGAAGCTATTTCACATGTAAAACACTGAATCTAATAGAACATGAATCATATAACCTTTTATAAACTAGAATGGGTGGACAGAGGAATCAAACAGCAAAACAGTCTATCAAATGAAATTTATTGGATTTAAAGGGGTGCTCTGATTTCACAAGCTACAGTACACAACTCCTCATTTCATAAAACAGTTTAGTCACATTTCAGATAGGAAAATGTTTCCTCAAAAAAGTCACTCTACAAAGAAAGGACAGATGCATTAAATCTGAGATATATTTTATATATGTATGAAAAATTAGAGTGTTATCAAAAATAAGTGGGGCAGGAAGTGTTGGAGGTTGTGAAGGTGCTGCGCCCGGGGACAGATAGTGATATGGAAAGAGTCACGCCTGAACTCCAAACGTCAAAAACAAACACGTTCACTAAGATGGAGGTGTCCAAACTGTTCGCCAAGGCGGATAAAATCACAGGCAAGCTGAAACTACTCAGAGGCCCGTTTTATTTAGATAGCTTCACATTTTAATGAAATCAACAAAGTAGCTAAATTTGAATCCCAAGGGTTTTACTTTTACTAAAAGTTGGACGCCCATGGGGACGAGTGTTGCCTCTTTTCCTTAATTGGCAACAAAAACAGGATTGGAGTCACTTAAAAGGCAGAATTCAGATCTGGTTTTGTTTTTAACCCACGGGATATTTAAGGTCCCAATTGCTCTGAAATACAATTAAAAGCTAAACGTGTGGTTGGGGTTAAGTAAGTTTTTTTGTTGTACCTCCAGATAAAATCTCACTTTAAAAATCCCTACAAAATGTGCATTGTTCCTGGACTGCAGTTGCAGACCTAAAAAAAATCTATTCTGTGGGCCGCTGGACACAGCTTGGACACCTCTGGACTAACGAAACAGTCACAGCAAACAAGCTAAACCTGAATAAAATAAACATTTTTTATCTTAAAGTAAAAAAGAAACTAAATTATGTCTGAAAAGTTAAAAAAAAACAGATTTTCACCTCATCAAATCATAAATCCGCTATAAATCTCTTGATAAATGAAGATTCAAGAACTTTGAAATAAAACTAAACCTTTCTGTTTAATGAGCCTTTTTTTTGTGAACATCAAAATGCTTTCAATGAAAATAAAAATCATAATAAACACAGCCACAACCTGTAAACACCACCTGCCAACTTAGCTCTTTAAACTCAGTTTTGTAGATATATGACAAATAGATTTATTACAAGGCACCGGAGACCAAGTTTGGTTCACTGTCAGCAGATCAAATTCAGTCCCAGTAATAATTATTATTCTGATATATATATATATTTTTTCAATTTAGCCACATGCAGAGTGTTTGTGGTAAAAAGGGATTTTTTTTCAGCCTAATGCTGAGCAGAAGGTAAAGATATTCCTCCTTTTTATTTGAATTATCCTCTTCAGTTTAGAGGGAATAGAGGGTCAAGCTTTTCTTTACTTGGGTTATATTGTTGCTAGTTTCTTTTTTCTGTCCCCACGGCTCAAGAAAACTGAAAAACATGGATACGAGTGTCCGGCGGAATCAGCATGAGGTAAAAGCAAACCAAGCTGCTGCACAGGACTCCCAACAACACACTTACAAAATGTTGTAGCTTCAAATTTAAACTATTAGTGTACAAACTGTAATGGTAACAATAAGGAAGAGAGGAACATTTGTAGCTTGGTAATGATAACTATCATAACTTAAAGCTATGAGATTGTTTTTTAACTGTAACTGTTAGCAAAAATCCTTCAACTAATCAAGAACAAGCATTCATCAGTGTTCCATTCATTGGTAAATTTGTAAAGGACTTAATATTTTTCCATTTTTTTATACTTTAAGGAACAAAAACAGGGACGCATCAACCTTGTCCCAACAATTTATGTAACATTTTACTCCAAACGATTAAATAAATAAAATTAAAGGAAAGCTGTACAGTCTGCAGCAAGATTAAGAGTGTGAGTGCTGACCCCTGGTGGCGAAATGTGAAAAGGGCCAGCTTCAGACTAATAATCCATTTTTTATTAAAATCTACAAAACAAAAATTAATGTTTTGATTTAGAAAATTAATCCTGCCTAAAATAGAGGAAGCTGATTGGCTCTATCCTTATTAGGAATAATCCAAAACAGATTTTTTGTTAAATGAATTAACCTGCGGGTTTTAAGACTAAAAAAAGGGGCCAGCTTTGTGGTGGATGAGCTGCTTTCCCCAGGGGTTAAAATAATCTAAATAATGAGCTGAATATCTTGTCTGCTCCACAGCTGTTTGCTTCAGGTTGCTATGCTCTGCATGTCTGACCGACTCAGTATAACGCTTCTGTACGCTACATTTACTGGACCCTGTGAACATTACAGAGCAACGCGAAAGGCTGAAGATATTGCCATATGGTGGGGTTTGATACTATTTTCATGACACACCCCAAGGCCCATTTCACAGGGTTAGTTTTAAACTGATATCTAAGACATCTTAGCTTCAATCAGCTTTTTTTTTTCTTTTTAAACAAATAGATACAATATAATGTGGGAAATCTGGAATGAAATGCTCTACATTAGACACATATCCATGAAACTGGTTTGCCATCTTCATTTTCTTAGAATAGTAAAAATAAGAAATATTAAAAAAAAAAAAGCCACAAAAATTAAATATGTTTGGTATCCAAACTAACCTAGTTTAGAAAACCTCTGCAAAGCAAAAACCCTGATCTGGAAAAGTTACCAACAAAACAATATGGGCGCATTTATCTGCAGCTTCTCCTGCCGAAACTCCAAAAAACCATCAAGCAAATCAAGTAAAAGCCCCTTTATTTTTTTTATTTTACTGCTTTTCCTTTAAATTAGAATTCTATCTTCTTAGAGAACAGAGAGGGGGGACACAAAGTCTGGAATCTTTACATTTTCAAGACTCAAAAGCCTGTATTTATGATACAGGTTAGACAAATAAAGTAGCTATTTAAAGCCTGTACTGATGCTTTTTTAATTATAATGTGCAAATCACAACCAAAGACAAGAATATTTTCATTTATAACTGAACAAAACAATGAAACATGACCTTTACTACAACTGACTATGAAGGTTTTGAGCCGTTTGTAGGTCTGATTTCCAGAAATTTGTTACTGCGGCAACACGTTACAACATGGCTACCATTATAAATGTATAACTAGTAAGTAAAGTGGTTATTAGGCAAACTTTATAAACCAGTTATGACTAGGGCTGCAACAACGAATCGATAAAAATCGACTTTTAAAAGCGTTGGCAACGAATTTAATCATCGATTAGTTGTGCCGCGCGATTAATGCGTCATCCGCCGCCGCCGTCATCCGGGGGAAGAAAAAAAAATATGGCGGAGCGAGTCAGCGCCGCAGTTGCAGTGTTGCCAGCTCAGCGACTTTTCAGACCCCTCCAGCGACTATTTTTCAAAAAAGCGACTAGCGACAAATCTGGCGACTTTTTACGGTGTCACTGGCGGCTTTTGCCTGCCGTGGGGCGCCTCCCCCATCCCAACGCCTTTCTCCCTCTCCCACAGGAATCCCTCTCAGCGCAGCAGTCAGAGTCAGAGCAGCAGGATTTTAGTGAGGAGTTTACCCTCAGCGTCCAGACTGCAAATGAAGCGCACACGCGCCGGGATTGACGGCGCAAATTGATCACAATAATTAAAATAGCCTGCGCTTTGTAAAGTGAAAAAAGTCGTAACATGCAAGTTTTGTAAAAACAAATGAACATGGCACGGAAGCACCACTGTTATGACGCAGCACCTGAAAAGAAAACACGTTGGAGCCTTCAATGGCAGTGAAGAGAGCTGATCAGCAGGATGAGTAACCATGTTTGTTTGGTTTTAAAGTGGGGAAACGTAACGTTAGTTTCTCAGGTAGCTCATCTGATGCTTTCCTTACCTTGTTAGTAGGTTACAGACAGTGATAAGGTTGGCTACTTATTTTACTTTTAATTTCATTTGAATTAGCTTAAGCAGCGTTTATATTTTCTTTATAAATAAATTAACTTGCAAATTATGAGGGCAAGGCTTTTAAAGTTTAAATCTTCTGGCAAAGATAAAGAAAAGAAGATCCTGCAATTTATGGAAGTAAAGCAGAACAAAATCCAGCAAGATCAGTAATATGTCAATTAATTATATGCCACATTCCCATGTAAATATCTGTCTTTGGAGGATGTGTTTTTTTACCACCCCTAGTTCTCTCATTTTTATTCCAAATACAATTTATAATTTGAATCACAGGGCTATTTTTATCTCTATGGTTCAGTATTTTCTCAAGCAGCAACTTTAACTGCTATACTTTCCTGTCTTAAAAGGCAGAACTCTTCTAGTCTAAAAAAAACTAATTTGTTCAAATGGGGGGGCCTATTGTTTGAACCCCTTAGGGGCTTTAAAAAACAAAAATGCCTGTCTCTTTTTGCGCTTTATGAAACAAAGTAGCCTATATTTTGTGGATGTACAGCTACATTTCTCATGTAAGTTTGCATAGTTTTTACACAAACATTTATTTTTCATATTGCACCAGTACAGTTAATGAGCAACCTGTACTTGTGTGCTTGTTTGTTCTGTCTAAAATGTTTATTTTGGAATAAAGAGGTTAATATAAAAATTTTTTTTTGTCCGATTCATCGATTAATCGAAAAAATAATCGGCCGATTCATCGATTTTTAAAATAATCGTTAGTTGCAGCCCTAGTTATGACCAATTAGTCAATAATTTGACTGAAGTCCTGACTCAATGAATAGTGAGCGCCTTAAAGCTGCTTTTTGCTGCCTTATAAATTGCAAACAGCTATCAATGGGACTTAAGTTATAAGGGTAGTCATATTGTAAAGTGGAGCAACCGTTTTAAGACAATTGTTAGCAAAAGATAAGAAATTTCTTTATAGGTTTATTTTTGGGAAGCAATTAATATAAGTTGTCTCTTTAAAGCATTTTTGATGTTACTCAGATACACTGGAGTTAAATCACCCACATAGTTATTTTATGCAGGGACAAAAAAGATTGTTAAACCTGCTAAACCGTTAGCATCAAGCTAACAAAATAGCTAGCATTAAGTGACAGCATTTCTGAAAAGAAGCTTATGCTTGTGATTTAACTCTGACAGCTATAAGGAATGTATTTTATTTAAATTTACTCCGTGGCTGAAGTTTAATTACCCTCCATAGCAACAACTTAGCGAACACCTGAAACTTGATGTATCCCAGCAATAAATAATTAGCAGAGGAATGCTAAAGCTAACGCTGCAGTAAAACACCATGGTTTTAGCGTCTCACATCAGTTTGTGTGATTAAATAAGTTTCTTTGAATTTCAGAGGAAACAGAGATCTGTTCAATGACAACTTAAATTAGCCTTTATACTAAAGTTAGCAACCAATGCTAACCTTGACTCTAAATAACAGCAGAAAGCCATCAGTGGTCAAGAATACATAGACCTTAAATGTATGTAACGATCGAACGTCATTAGAAGGTCAAAAATGTTAAATTGGGATACACTAACTGGCCACTTTATTAGGTACATCTTAAAAGTTAAGCGTTGAGCCCCATCTGCCTTCAGAAGCGCTTTAAACCTTTGGTTTATGGATTTAACAAGGACTAAGGGACACTTTAGTTCACACAACCATGACCTCCAGCTCTGTCAGCTGAAGCTCAAGGTTGTTAGTTTCCAGTTCTTAGCTGGTAGGAGTTCTACCAGGTGAGGTCTTCTGCTGCTGGAGCCATCTGCTTCAAGGTTGTACGCTGAGTTGACCTTGTTTGGAACAAGAGGTTGTTTGACCCACTGCTGCCTCCATTATCTCCAACCAGTCTGACCCGTTCTTATAGCAAGGAGCCATTTTCCTTCACATAGCTGCTGCTCAGTAAATTGTTTCCTTTTCTATTTCACACTCTATGAACCGGTCATAGATGAAACCCCCAAGGTTTTATGTTAAGACTTAAATCTCTTCCTTGTTCTGCTGCTGAGCTTCAACAAATTATCTTCATATCTAGATCCCTAAATGCACACAACTGCAGCGGATTGTCAGTAATGTTTGGATTGAGCAGCTTGACCTATGGTTTTTAAAACCAAAATTAAAATAATCAAAAAATGCAAGACTTTAGAATAAATCTTTCTCTTATATAATGAAATTATGCAGCTCCAGATGCTGTTTCACATCAAAACACTTCAGGTGTATTCAGACTATTAGGGTCTCTGCAGAGTTTAGATCCTGAATGCAAGCCGTCTTTGTTTTGTTTTATCAAGGAAGAATTTGATAAGCTGCATTTTTTTAGATGGAGTAAATGATCACATTTGTAACAGTGGAACTAATTATCTACCTAATAACAACCAGCAGTCTGCTGGTTAAAGTGGGGTACCCAATAAAGTGGCCATTTCCAGCAGAAAACTCTCAGACCAAATGAAATTGTCATCTTCAGAAATGTGTGCCAACAAAATACATTGAAATAATGTAATGAAATGGGTCTCATGGCTTTTAAATAGAAATGCTACATTTATATTAATTCGTATGGGTTGATTTTATCATCTTAAGACTTGTTCTGGCTCCTGTAACCGTCATGAAAGTAGAGAACGGCTCACTTCAGAGTCACACAGCAGCGGAAGCTGGAACTCCCTGCAAACCTTTAACAGCAAAATAACTGTATGAACAGAAGCAACAACAAATAACAGTTAAGCTTTGAGGTATCTAGGTTATGGTTAAAACCTCAGATTTAAAAAATAAAGCAAACAAACTGGAATAAAGGCTGGAGACAGCTGCCCTAAAGCAGCAGCATCTCCTGACAGCAGGGGGCAGCAGAGGACTCACTCGACTCTGCAACCTCCTGCACCGTTACAGCCCAAGGTTGAACTTAAAAGCCTATATTACAACAAACTCCGCCCCCTCAACTGCTCATTGGTCAGCCTGTCTATATGCAAGCGTGACTGGTTCGCTTTGATATTCACTCCTTCCTGATCTAAATAAAGCCGTTTGAAAATAAACTACCGAAAAGGGTTAAATGACCCCGACGAAAGCCACACGCCGAAACGCTTCTGTCTGTCCATAAAGTGGGTTTCCGCACTTTACGAGTTCGTCTCAAGTCTGTCCAGGTGAGAAACTAGTATTTAACCAGAACCTGAGCTATTATCGTTTCCCCAGTGTCCCGCTCCCACCGCTCCCAGCATCACAGGGGGCGCTCCAGTGTAACCTAAACTGAGTTTATGCCATGAAAATGCTAATTCACATTGGAAAACAATAAAAAAAACACAGCTGTAAATGAAAACTTTTAAACTCCCCCCACAACCAACCGAAGGCTTTCCTCAAGGCGACTTAAATGATGAAATCAGATCATAAAAATAAGCCCTTGAAACTTCGGACACTTTTAAGAAACATATTCTCTCTTGAAAATAAGAAAAACATAACCAATCGGTATAATTGGAATAATAAAGCAGATTTGTAACCGTGCAGCTGTGAAATGTAGATGAGGTGGCGGATGTCGCTGGCAGAGCCCATGGATCACAGCTCACTGGTGATAAAACAAAACCACGTGACATCCATCCGAACTGTAATAAAACCATAAATTTAAATACGACCTGTGGTAACAGCCTCTCGCTGTAACAAACCTTCCCGATCAGCAGCAGCTGTTAAAACAGCAGGAGTGAAAGATAAGATAAAGTCTCCCCCCTCGTCCCGTTCACTCCGCTTTTCTCCTTTTCCAGGTGAATGTGACCTTTCTCCAGGACTCTAAGTGTGGAAGAGTGCAGCACTTGAGAGTTAAAAAATAAAAATCAAACAGAGATCCGATTAGGCAACAGATTTGTTACAGAGGAGTGTATGGGAAAATGCCCAGGAGTAGTGGAGGGAAAGAGAGCAGGCAGTCCTGGTGTACTACAGCACGATAATGGGGTTGAGTTAGTAGCTGAGTGAGCAGCCTGATCGAGGGAGAGCAAACTGGACATCAATCCTCCTTGGAGCCGTCGGCCACAGGAGGAGACTGTGGCCCGCGGCTTCGCCTGTACAGCCGGTAGCCCTTTCTGCAGAGCAGCACGAACCAGTAGACCTGTGGCGCCAGGATGCACAAGTTGCCCAGGTTGGCGGAGAGAGGCAGGTGGAAGGGGACGCTGTAGAGGGGGATGCCATAGTGGCGGCCGTACATCCAGTACATGAAGGGGAAGAGAGCGATGCGGCACATGAAGAACGTGACCAGGACCATGCCGCCGTTGGCCTTATGCAGCCAGCAGTCCTGGAGGCTGAGCTGGTGGACGAGAGGGTGGGGGAGGGGAGAAGAAGGAAGCCGTTAGAGACAGAATCCAACAATGAAACCGGAAAATATGGCTGAAAAATATCAGTTTAATAATCAGGCAAAGGAGCATGAACAACACCAGCAGCATCGCTGCAGACAGAATCCCAGGGAGGGAGGGAGGGAGGGAGGGAGGGAGGGAGGGAGGGAGGAAGGAAGGGAGGGAGGAAGGAAGGAAGGAAGGAAGGAAGGAAGGAAGGAAGGAAGGAAGGAAGGAAGGAAGGAAGGAAGGAAGGAAGGAAGGAAGGAAGGAAGGAAGGAAGGAAGGAAGGAAGGAAGGAAAAACCCAACATTATTTATCTAAGGAAAATCTTTAGACAAGAATGTCTGAAAAGTCAGTAAATCATTTTTTTTCTTATTTTATTTTCCAATAATAAATCAGATTTGGGAAACATTAAAATCCAATTCCAGACTGTTTAGGAGCCCTGTGAATTTAAGCGTGTTCATAAGAGGTCAGTTGGAAGGAAAAATTAGAAAGGGAAAAAAAAACTGAAATATTTTCAGCATTTAATTCTGGTAAATTTTCTGTGTTCGTTAAATAATTCGACATCATTGTTAGGTGTATTCTAATGAAGTAGCTTCATTTTTTCATGCAATAATATAAATGATGCTTTAATCTTTTAATGTTCTGTTGGACTTCGAACCATTACCTCATCTAAAACCTGATACCGCTTTTTTTTAACCTTTATAATTTGTTCTATGAGAGAGAAAAAAAGCTACATTTAATACTCAGGTTTAAGGTAAAGATAATGTGGAGGATTTTTTAAAAGATCCGCCTTCTCCACTTGAAAAAAAAAAAAAATGCACGTGCAAGAGCATCCGTGAGCCAATTTCTCCTCATGCATGCCCTGTTTAAAATGTGCTGTTTTCATAGCTCATACAAGCTTGCTGTGTCCACATACAGTGATCTTTGAGATTCAAGAAGTGCGTTCCAGGAGGTTCCAGGCTTTATTAACCTTTGACGAACATAGGCCTGTTCTAGTGACAACAACAGAGAGTATCTAATGAACCCCAAGTAACTCCTCCTCCACGCGGCATCTTTTTTATTAGACGCCGCTGTCGTGTGGCAACAGTGTATGGTGACAGCGAGCCGCTGTGACAACAAATCCCATAATGCTTTGCGAGGAGATAATTCTGGGACATATCTGCCTCTTCTGATGCCTTTGTTTTCTTCTCATACACTTCATAAACACTTTTTCTCTCACGACCTTCGGCCATTTTCAAAGAACGTCAGGGAGAAAGGTGAGCTTCGATGACCGCCTGAAACCATAGCTCACCACAGATATACGCCTGAAAGTGCACATGGGCAGAAAAAGATGGCCAACTGGAGACGGGCACGTAGGACTAGCCTGATGTAGTCCTACTCAATTCTAGTCAGAATATGAGTCTGATGCTGCTCCATAGAGCTGTGATTATGGGGCGTGTTTCGAACGAACCAGGAAAAAAAATGCCTCTGCACTCAATTGGATAGACCTACAACCAATAAGAGCAACAGAGTGCGTGACGTATTTTAAGTCACGCATAGTTGTTGTCAACGAAAATCAAAGCGTGCAGTTGCACGCCTAGAATAATAAGATGAGCCTTGATCGCGTTTCTCTGTTCCTCTTTTAAAATTAATTTGCTGTCGATATCTTCTAGAACAGACCTAATAGCAGAATCTACACAGCCCAACTCTCCGGCGGCAGCCATTGTTGTTGTCACTCAAGCGCGCTTTGGTCACGTGGTTGATTACGTTACTGTTGATCATCTGTCCATCATCGTATAAAGCCCTCCCTGACAATTTGATTGGCCCGTCAGATATTGTGCTAGCATACTCGCGCTACTATTGAGCAGTGTTGGGCACGTTACTTTGAAAAAGTAATTAGTTATAGTTACTAGTTACTTTTCCCAAAAAGTAACTGAGTTACTAACTGAGTTACTCCACAATAAAAGTAACTAGTTACTAGTAAAAGTAACTATTGCGTTACTTTTGCGTTTCTTGCCCCCGTAACCCTCACCACCCGGCCCCCACCTTCTCGCCGTGTGTTTCCAAAGCCAGCTGAATAGAGCGGACGACAAAGACAAGAACCTGCAGAGAGTTTTGCATTTATTGCAACTCAATGTAAATGACATCAGGGGGGAACGCCATGTGAAGTTTTATAACAGGGCATTCAGATCTGGTGAAATTAATAACTGGAACCCCAGCCGGCCTCAGCAGATGGCCGCTCACACTGAGCCTGGTTCTGCTGGAGGTTTCTTCTTGTTAAAAGGGACTTTTTCCTCTCCACTGTCGCTACAAGCATGCTTAGTGTGGGGGATTGTATTTGAGTCAATGAGTCGATGCAATCAACTGGTTTTCCTTAGATAGAAAACTTTGTATCAATTTGACTGTATGATCTGGTTGAACTGTAAAGTGCCTTGAGATGACGTGTTGTGAATTTGGCGCTATATAAATAAACTGAATTGAATGTCTAATTTTGAAATCCTGTGTGTTTGGGTTGTTATAGATACTGCAACATCTATCTATCTATCTATCTATCTATCTATCTATCTATCTATCTATCTATCTATCTATCTGTATACTCTGTGTGTGACATAAAATATGGATCTCCATCCCTGCCACAAAGGCCATCAAATAATGTTTAAAATAAAAAATACAGTAGGTTGAAAAGGCAGAGTATCCATCCATCCATCCATCCATCCATCCATCCATCCAGATTTCTCCCTTTCTCCATATAGGCTATCATTTCTGGCTGTTGTCAGGTTAGTCATTTGATCGTTCACGCTCTCCATAGTTCTCCTGTGGCGCGAGCACAGGGCGACTGTTGCGCGCCTTTAGCGAGCATGCGCGTTTCCTGTCGCTTGCGCGGTGACTCGTGCCGCCTGCGCTGTGCGGAGATGCAGGGGAAACCGTATCTGATGGGGAAACGCAGCTCGACGTAACACCGGTATTTCCATGTGGAAAACGCTGTTTTGCTGCTGGATCATCCTCACTCTCCATCTCTCTGTGTGTGCTGTATGTTAACACCCGCCAGCAGAAACACCCGCTTACACAACTGACAGACGGAATCTCACTATACATCAGCCATTCTCATCCTCCCCTCTCTCATGACAAGGCGCGCACCTCTGGATGACCTAAAAAAATAATCTTTAATATCTCTTAAACAAAAGTAGCACAAGCAATATTTTTTTCTGCACAAATCTGCACTAACGTTGCACTAAACCATTCAGTCTATTTGCAGAGTTTTTTGACGTGGGTGGGGTGTCAGCATCACGCAGCTGCGCACGAGTCCTATCATGAAAAAAGGTTCATTGTGCGACCTGAGTAACGCGCAGTAACGGGGTGTCTGCAATGGTAACTGCGTTATAGTTACAGCCAAAGTAATTAGTTAGATTACTCGTTACTAAAACAAGGTAACGGCGTTAGTAACGCCGTTACTTTCAACGCCGTTAGTCCCATCACTGCTGTTGAGCAATGCCAGACCGAACTTCCCGGCCTCAAACGTTGTGGGCGGGACTAAGTTCGAAATGGCACCCAGGCTAACGTAGGCTGGCCTTACGCACACATATCACCAGAATGATTGACAGTTAGGAGGACCACTTAGTTTGATGATGCACCCGGAAATAAAAGATCCTCCTCTATACCTTTAAGAAAACAAATCAGAGTCACTGATTCTGCTCTTAGAGCAAACCTAAAAGCATGCATCTAAATATTACATATATATGTATTATCTTTATTATAGATATATTAATAATATATAATATATAGCTAAATGCTTATTGCAATATTATGAACTATAATCAGATTAATCATTAACTTCACACTAATGGTGACCACCATGATGAGGGCAAAATGGCAGCATAAACGCAAGGAATCCAAACCAACAGCAGTACCATTAGTTCCATACTTCTAAAAAGACCTTTAAACTACTAGTGAAAAATAAGGCGCTTCATTCCAGATGTTTGATAAGCAAGTCTGTTTGGGTCTGAAAAAAACACGCTACCTCAGGCCTGACCTCTGACCTTCCTCTTCTAGAGGAGTTTTCTGCCATCAGAGAGCCTCTGTTTCTGAGGGTTATGCCTCCATGAGTTTGTTCTAGAATTGTTCTAGAAAATAATCCAAGTAATGAGCCCTGACAACATGCTGGGAACATCAGAGATGTTAGCGAACGTCTGTTTGTCGTTTGGAAGCTTAATGAGCTGCTGGCCAAACTCGACCTCGTCAGAAGTTTTTATGCTCCAGCCATTTCAACGTGATGAGTCAGCGCCGGGTCGGTCCTGGACAGGGAGCGCCCCGCTCCAGCTTCCTGGGCTCTGATGGTGGTAACCATCTTATTTTTAAATGTTCTATGAACAACCCTTCAGTATCCCTTAAACCTACGCTATTTTAAATATCATAGAAATACTATCAATCTTTCTGTTTTTGTTTTAGTTTTCAGTGACATTCATTAGTAACATTCATTCATTCATTTTCAGGATCTTTCATCTTTTCATTTTAAGGTTGAGAGATTAAATTATTTGTTTTATCATTTCTTAATAATATTTTTGTCACCCATCCCTCCTTTTCAAAGATGAACACAGTAATATTATTTAACATATTTTTTCCTGTTGTTTACAAACTTTATAAAACAATTATAAAGTAATTTCTTTATCAGTCAGAATAAAAGGCACTGAAATCTTCCTGAATACATGAATAAGTGTCACGAAAAAAAAAGCCTCACATAATATTTATAATGGAGAGAAACAAAACTTCACCTCCACATTTTCACACATTACGGCTGCAGGTCTCCTACCAGCTTTGAACATTTACAGACTGAGCTTTATACCCAGTTTTGATGGAGAACATCACTTTTCAGTTCTTGTCACATTTAACTAATCCATGAATCTGCCTACGAAAGTTTTTGGTTGTCTTTCTCTTTATTCCTGGCAGTGAATCCTGGAGCTTTTGTTGAAGGAGTCCAACTGCAGACCAAAGATTCTAATATCTAAAAGGTGTTTGCGTCACTTTAAGGTTTTCTGATTATTTCCTTAACAGAATTGGTAAATAGGGCTGGGTATTTTCACCAAAGTCCTGAATCGATTCCATTTTGATTCATACGGTTCTAAATCGATTAATTTCGATTCGATCTGTTTTTACAATAATGAAAGTGGTTCAACTGTGTTTCAAAATACTCATGTATTTTGTTTTTTCCTGTCATATTAAACACAAAGTGCAAACTTGTAAATCAGACAGTTTAAACTCGAGATGTGAACAAAACTGTCTCAAAAGTGCAAACTTGTCGGTGAAAAGTGAAAAAGGGAAGCGTCACTGAAGCAAGCAGACGTGACACAGCAGACATTCATGAGCTGCATTATCTTCAATGCACAAACCATATGTGCAGCGTTGTCTGTAACCTCTACAGGGTGTTTTCTGGTCAGCCCCCATTCGTTAATCTCTCCAGCCAACCTATTGGCTATATTTGCAGCTGTCTGGCTTAAAGTATTCTTGAGTGCATCTTTCCTGCTCATTTGAATGTGAGCGTCACACGGGTCACTAGAAAATGTGGGTCATTTGATACCGGGCCGCACAGAAAAAAGTATATATTATATATATATATATTATATATATATATATATATATATATATATATATATATATATATATATATTATATATATTATATATATTATATATATTATATATATATATATATATATATATTATATATATTATATATATATATATATTATATATATATATATATTATATATATATATATATATATATATATATTATATATATATATATTATATATATATATATTATATATATTATATATAATTATATATAATATATATATATATATATATATATATATATATATATATATATATTATATATATATATATATATATATATATTATATTATATTATATATATATATATATATATATTATATTATATATATATATATATATATATATATATATATATATATATATATATATATATATATATATATATATATATATATATATATATATATATATATATATATATATATATATATATAAAATTTATCGACGATCAGAGTCTGAGTGATGTTTCATTTTGAAAAATATAAAAAATTGCGGTATTCTCTCCCAATTACATCAGTCGGTGCATTTGTGCCTCTTGACACAGGTTAATTCAGTTGAAGACTCATCCTATCTATAACATCCTATCTTTGTGAAGCGACCAAAACAAAGCTACGGAGCAGACTGGACATCAGGAGCGTCTGTCATTTTCTCCGATTACGAGTAGATGGGACCGGTTTGTTGTTTTATTTTTATGCTGTATGCCCCCTCCCCCCGCCGGTCCGTGGTGCAAAAAAGGTTGGGGACTGCTGCTCTAGACATCGATTTTGCAAAAATGTAAAGGAATCGATTCAAAATCAATTAAATCGATTTTTGTACCCAGCCCTATTGGTAAAACAAAAACCTGGGGACTCCGCTGCATAGGTAAATATATTGTAGAGGCAGGTATATTGTTATTATACAGTCAGAAAGGAAATAAAAAAGCTGAATCAGACACTGCAGACCACTGATCATAGGAGCAATAATCTTTCTTCTAGTTTAATAATACATTTCAATAAATTCTAAATATAAATATAATTTCTATATGTTTATCTTTTTAACAGTAAACGGTAGCGCCTCGGCTTCATTTTTGCGAAGCTGTTGATCAATTGTGACTTTCTTCATTTGGAGAATTCTCCTCTCTCAACTGCGCTGTGACAGTGGAGCGGCGAGAACAGAAAATTAATAAATTAAAAAATCAGTGCCCCAGGCCCACCCAGGCACCGTAGATCCAGAATGGGGCACATGCCTCTGTGCAAAGGGTCTGCCGACGCCGATGCCTTCAGTTCTGCTGATGTTGATCTGCTATGCAGATAAGAGGGGCACAGGGCTGCTGTTTAACCAGCAGAGATTTAAAATTCGACCCTCTAGTGGTTTTAAAGAGCGACATGCTACATGGGTCAGAGCCTCTGACTGGACTGGGTTCATCAGCATGAGGAGGAACAACTTCCTAATAACGACTGGTGTCGATGGTTTTAGGTAAAAGGAAGAGAGACCCTGCTGCTGACTGAGTGTTTTTGTTGTTGAGGCTGGCAGTTTAATTATTGATAAAACAGCGACAAACTATCTCCAGAATGAAACGGAGATACTAAGGTTTTTGATGATGTAAGGTCCTGCTGATCACCAGTGCAGGCTTTACACAAGAGAACTGATAGGATTTTTTTCTCTGTAAAGTCCATTTACACTAAAATCAATTCATTGTGGTAAAGAAACTCCTCCAACAGAAAGAATACAATAAATCAACTAATAATATCTGAGGAAATGAGTTTGGATAGAGACCATAACTCATGCATGTCTGCACTGACCTAAAGTTCCACTTTTGTTGCTTTTCTATATCGTAAAAAAATCCAGTATTTTAAACTCTTAAATACCGGTTTAAACTATTAAATCAGATTTTCTTTCATCCTTTCTTTGTTAGTGAAAATGTGTTTTGGGGGGAGAAATGTGTCATAAATGGGCAACAAAATGGAGTTAATTCATGCAAGCAGGTTTAATCAGTAGATTAAATATTTCACTTTGTGACAAAAGGAAAAAATGTACAATAATACCTGCATTTATTTTAATACACAAGTTACACAAAACAGTTTAATCATTTTGTCTGGATTTTTAACACAAACCTAAAAACATGAAACTCCCCCTGCGAGACCTGCTCTCATTGGTTGATCAAACGTTTATTTCCACCAGTCCACAGTAAACGGGACAGGTGCAGGAGTGACCCAGTTAGTCTCGGCTGGATGCTTACCTGAATGAGAATCTTCCCCAGGGAGACGAAAGGTGTGCTGAGCTCGGTTAGAAACAGGCAGCCGATGAAGAAATCCCCCTGGTCCTTCCTGAAGAACTGAGCAACAGAAACAGAGCAAACAGATGCAGGTGTGAGAATTAGAGCCTATGACATCCCAGCCCAGTTACTCCGTCTAAACCAGTCCAGAATTGTGTGTAATCCACAAAACTAGTAAAGCTATAAAAGTTTGATCTTTATTTAACATTGCTTAAGGTTAGATTCAAGTTAAAAGTTCAAGTTTTTATTTAGCTATGATTAACAAGTATAGCTTTGCTCAATTTAGTCCTAAAATATCCTTACCTGTAATGGAAAAAAGGAAGAAAAACAAACTTCAATCGTCTATATTTCCTGGCAGAAACCAGTTAAAGGTTAATAAAACCTTCATCTCACACAGGATCAAACACCCTGCTGTCAGGTGAGACACACAGCTTACTGCCGACCTTCTAACTGCTTCAGGTGTTTGAATTAAAATCAAATCAACACAGTTTGATAATGAAAAGGATTTTGTCCGAATTAAAAACCAAAACCTGAACAGAAACCTTGAGCAAACATCTATAAACAAGGTGCGGTCCAAGACACACTAAGGACTCAGCAGATGCATAGGTGTGCTAAGCCTGAGCTGTTTCATTCATGTTAGAAAAAGTCACAGAATTGCCAAGAAGGTTCAGAGGAGAAGCCATTTTCTTACAGAGATAAGTAAAAGGATAAAAATGTGAAAATAAAGGGTCTGAGCTTTTCTTCATATTCAGCTGGAAACGGCTGACAAACATGAAAGAAATGATTGTTACGTCACCTAGTGGCAGGAAGAGGGAATTAACAACCGCTGCCAGCAGGCAGACACTGAAACCTGCCGTCTGTGGAGGCCAAGATGGATTTATTCGGATATCAAGAAGTCCTGCTGTGGGTGAGAAGGCTAAATCCAAAACGCTGCTGGACCTTCATACAGGAAAATGAGCCAAAGCAGAGATCTAAGTCTAACTGATATATATTACTGGACAGAACATCATGTGACTACCGAGTGGCACAGGGGCCACTGATATAAATGCTGCTGCAGGAGTAAAATCAGCATCAGAAGTACATGAAATAGGTAATTTCTTTCAAAAAACCTTTAAATATACAAGGACATTTACAATATGACTTCAAAATAAATGAAATATAAAGGACATTAAATATTAGATGGAGAAAAAAATGAGAAACAATAGGTGAACAAATATATATACAAAAGGTATGCCATTAAACGTAGTAGAGTTTAAAATACAAACACAAAAATGTCCTTGTTAAATAAAATGTTATAATAAAAGGAACCTTAGTAATCATAATTGGCAAGTTATTAGTGGAGATTATGAAGGAAAAACAGAATCTAAACGCCAGATAATCCTGGCTATGCTAGCATTCTGACTTTATCTTCTCCCTCTCTCTGCTTTCTCTCAGGAATCCACCAACTGTGAAACAGTAATCACAACCAAGCAATCCGAGCGAAGTCTGAAAAGGCTCAGTGTAAAAGAATCCTGGGCAAAAACGCGACCGTCATAGTCCCCCGATTTGAAAACCCCAGGTGACCGTAACACATTAATGAAAAGGAAGGATTTGGCTAAGATCCCTGAGGAACGCCCCCAGTAGGTGATGTCTGGCTATAAATCAGGTCACAACAGCAGTGTTGCTCTGTTTCAATCTGAAAAACTCACAAAAACAAGGAAGGCATTTAGAGGAGTTTTATTCAAACAATATTTCTAAGATTTTGGCCTTAATTGTTAATGGATTAATTTAGGGATGCACGATATAATCGGCCCCCTATCGGTATCGGCCTGTATCGGCCTTAAAACTGAATATCGGACATCGGCCACCCCACCGATATTTAACCAGATATTTGATCAGCTTCTGAGTTTCTAAAGTCTAAAAAAAAAAAAAAAAAAAAAATACTACTTCTTCTTCTTCCTCAAAAACTTCTTTTTTACATTAAAATATCCCAATATCTTTATATACTGATATATTGCCATTTAAAAACACCATATCAATCTCTTTTACTAATGAAATATTGCTATACGTCATCGTTATGCTACGAAATCCCCCGAAAATTCACAAAATCTTGCCATATTTTTATATGTTGATATATTGACGCGGTATCGATCTATTTCACTAACAAAATCTCACAAGAATTTGCAAATTATCACAAGAGTTTGTAACAGAACAATGAAATTTCACGAGATTTTGAAAGTAAAATAGATCGATACCATGTTTTTAAAAATCTATTTGATATCAGCATATGAAAATATATTTGAGTATATTATTTTGTGTCAGAAATGGATAACAAAACTGCTATTTTCAATGACTACTTATTTTTGTCCAGCTTTAACATCGGTATCGATATCGGTTATCGGCTACATGAGTTTTAAAATATCGGCATATCGGATATCGGCCAAAATCCCAATATCATGCACCCCTAGATTAATTGTTAATGTAGGGGTTAGAGGGGTACATTAACAATGAATTTTACTTTGATTACATGCATTAGCTGTTGAATGAAAGTAGGGACGAACCCCCCCAGGCCTGAACAAGGCGCAAGTTCATATGAACCTCAATTGTGGGCAAGCATAGAGCGACAGTGGGGAGAAAAACCTGTCTGACTCAACATGGTGGTCTTCTGCTAGACCGGCTGCAGATGCCTTTTTAAAGCAGCACGAGTCCAGGGCATTACTTCAATAGACGTAATCAGCCGCATGGAGAAGGAGCCAGGCGGAGATTGAGAGGATGGAGGAAGGTTCAATCGGGTTCATAAGAATTCCAACATAAGAAGTCCAACATACGACCCAACTCAGATGGTTGTTGGTGGCAGGTTGAGTTGCTGATTGAAGTCTTGCATGCTGACAGCATCATGAACAGGTTTAATTGAATGTTAATTAACTGCTTCATAGATGGAGGGTAAATGGTCCAGTTTATTCAGTTGAATTTTCGCCATGGCTTCATTAATCTATAAAGAAGTTTGAATACTTTTCATACTGTGATAGTCATAGGTTGAAACATTTTGGTTTGATCCATCTATTCTACTTTTTTTTTTTTTGTTAGATTAGTTTTTCAAATTAAACCTCCCTATTAATGTGGGCCAATATTCAGAGACAAATTATTCAGCCGTCAGCTTTGGGCCGAATAAATATTTTAGATAAGAAAACATTTTTGCAGGTTGCATTTTTTCTGGAATATTTGCTCAAAATGACAATTAATACCAGAATCCCCGTTTTAGATCTGTTATTCTCGTCTTTATGGTAGAAGCTTTACATTTGCCAAAAAATCTAAAAAGAGGAAATTATATCCATACTCCTATATATATTCAATTACAGACTGAATTAACTGCTTTAGCTGTATGCAATAAAACCCTAAAAAAAAGGGAGTTTAATCCTATTAAATTTTACAAGAACTACAACAATACAGCCAATGAAAGCCAGGTGGAGCGGGGTGTGGGGGTGGTGTCCTGAGCACAAGTAATGAATAAGGTGTTCAAATATTGACTAGCAGCGCCGTGCTGAGTGATGTCACTCAGAACAGGTGAGTGAGGCTGGATGGATGAAGGGACTGAAAACGACAAACAAGCTGTCTCTGGTAGACGAACTGGTATAGTGAGCTGATGATCAATAAACCATGAGCTGCTCCAGCTTTGCCATCTGCCACGAAAAATATTTGGGACCAATGAGGAAAAGTTTACAAAACGCCTACAGATCTACCAGCCAACCTTAACGACGGTGAGAAAAGGTCTGCCAGCGCACATTTTAATGTATCCGCTAACATGACCGCTTCTGTCAGTGAGCCCCAGGGCAGCTGTGGCTACAATGTAGCTTGCCACCATCAGTGTGTGAGTGTGTGTGTGAATGGGTGAATGAATGTAGTGTAAAGCGCTTTGGTCAAGTCTCCTAACTTGAATAAAGGCGCTATATAAGTACATGCCATTTACCATTTACCATGACCTGAGCAAACACGCAAATCATTTTTTAAAAGCATTTAAAAGCAGAAACCATTTTAAAGGATGGTTACAGCGTGTGCCCCCCTTTTTTTTATTTATTTATTAGTGTTTTCAACAATCAGTCACCAAAATAGATTCAGGGCTTTTCAAACATTCCAGGCTTTAAGCCCCCAAAGCCCCCCTGTTCCGCAACTGACTGCAGGTCAGCGGCACAAAATCCCATATAAACCCAAATGTCCCTGACACCATTCTAAATATGAGAACGTGACACGGAAAAGGGAAATTGACATAATTTCTATTGGTTTTTCAGTTTTCAGTCATCCCTAAAAATAAGGGCAATTAATGACCATATTTAGTTTCATGTCAGGAAGCCTACCCAGACCTGATTACAGGTACACCTGCTACAAAGAAACAACTTAAGCAGAACCTGTACCTAAGCAAATCTTTCTGCCTCCATTTAAATAAATAAATAAACAAACAGGATGAGAAACAAATTAGCCGACATCTATTAGTCCGAGAAGGGTTACAGAGGCTTTTGGGCTCCAGAGAATAATCCATTAATGTAAAAAGACATCAAACAATGGAAAACTTGAGTAGGAACTCCTTATTGTGTCAGTTAAGGTCAGAGGTCATTGGGCAAAAAAGGCATCCCTTTAAATTCCAAAGCTAGTATCACTGCTGACTGCTGCTGAAAGATGAAGGCCTGTCTCACTTTAACACCAACCGGTGTAAAACTAAAATGGCTTTTACAAACAGAAAACCATCCCCACAGTCAAACATGGCAGAGGCAGCATGATAATCTGGGCCTGCTTGAACTGGATGGCCAGCCATTCATTCTACTCTGTGGCCAACCATCAGGTATCGATCACTTTGGTTCAGGGCAAAACCTCTGAATGTAGGCAGGGGAAAAAAAATCTCAAGTCTAACAAAGACATTTTCATTTGATCTTAAAAACAGGCGACTGGAAAAAAAACTGGAAAACCCTCCGATGTTGAAAAATAAATAAATAAAAGCTGCCCTAAATTCCTCCATAGGGATGAACACTATCCCGTTTACATCAAGGGAGAATAAGATTGGTTAGGTTTAGGGGGCATTTAGTTCCCCA